GACAACTTCATGGAAGACGGTTTCATGAAAAAGCCCACCATGCTGAAAAAGAAATTGAGAGAAGGAGTGGATGATGATCGGAGGGCATAAAGTTTATGTAATTGTCACATTTTTATTAATAAAATGGTAGTTAGTTCCAGCAAAACCTTAAATTGTAGATCTTGCATTTCTCTTTGCGGACAGAATTTTTTCGTATGGATTAAATTGACAAGCTACATGTTAATTAGTGAGCTTCAGAGGTGCTGGTAGGTGGATTTTGCAGCCTCTGGACAGAGCTAGGCCAGCTGTTTAAGCTAAGATGCTGGCTCCAGCTCTATATTTACCAGACAAACATTAGAGAGGTATTGATGTTCTCGTTTCACTCTCCCCAAGAAAGCAAATAACTGTATTTCCCAAACTCTTCCTTGAAACAAACCTTTAGCTTTAGAGATGTTTCCTCCACTTTGGACAGAACCAGGCGCTAGCTCCATGAGAGCGGTGTCAATCTTATCATCTCACTCTCAGAAATAAACCAAATAAGTATATTCCCAAAATGCTGAACTTAAACAAATGAGTCCCCTGCGTGAAGAACTATTTCTCTGTTTATAACATTCTGAATATGAAGCTTAAATCTGCCTGTTGACTTACAAATAGACCTGTTATTCCCACAGGCCAACAGAATGTGTACGATAAAACCGGCAACAACAACACAGTAGAGGTAAGTGCAAAAGCCATTCCTGCCTCCCTCAGGTAAGTGCCTGCTTCCCCTGCTCTGTGGGTGTGGTTTTGTGTTTGAGTGAGTGTGTGAGTGTCTGTGTGCGCGGTTAGATAGGGACTGTGCCTCACCCAGAAAAGAAAGTTTGCTTTATGCTTCGCTTTTAAAAGAGCTCCGCCTGAGGCACATCCCCACTATGCAGCCAAGGATACAAAGGCCGCTGAGAGTCTGCTGTAGTGGCGCTACAAACAGTCTCTTTCTGTGCCTCATGAGTGGATCAGCAGCCACTCTGCTTGCTATACAGCATCCCATCTTTCATCAGCTGCTGCTTGCCAGCCTTACTGTATAAGCCTTTGCGAGCCACCATAAGCCTGGCTGGCTCCTAGAATACCATCTACAAAGCCAGATAAGCTTGATACTGTTATCAGTTAGTGGAGTGTGTGTGGGTGGGTGTGTGTCTGTAAAACCAGCCCTTCCTTTAACTAAGCGTAGTGATAAAGGCTGTTTTCCTCTTTTATTCCTTTGCCATTCTTTCCTGTCTCTCCGGCCTCTCAGTCAGTCCTTTAGAGTTGTAAATAAGTGTGTTAGGGAGACACCCCGCCCTCGGTGTCACCTCTCTCCTCTCCTGACACTCCCTTTGACTTCAAGCTTCTCATTCTGCCATGCATTGACCATGTTCTCACACACACACACACACACACACACACACACACACACACACACACAC